CGAAGAAAGAAAGAAACGACCATGTGCCTGACTGAACTGCTAGAAAAAGCCAGCCTGAGTTACAAACTGCTAAACGCAGTTTCAACTGCAATTGAAACTCGGGCCCTGACTAAACTGCTAAAACGCAGTTTCAAATGCAATTACAAACTGTACGCCTGACTACGCCGTAGTTTATATTCTTCTCTCAAATCTTTCATCATCTTTCAAATTCTTTCAAATTSGCCTTCACTACCTACCTACCACTACTCCTAAGGCTTAGACAGGGGAACCCTGCAAACATAGCTTTGTTGTCTCCCTCCAGCCATCAGAGGGGATGCATGTTGCCCCCCGCCCCAACCATGGTGGTCAAGGATGGGGTGGGGCCGCCGGTGGGGTTCCGGCTAACGCAAAGACCGAGCATTTTGCCAGTAGCTGCGTCTCCGTTTTCATCGTCCCCCACCCACAACCGAATAACAGCAGTGTCTAAGGCCAACACTCTCCCACACACCACACACAACCCACTCACACTCACACTCACACCCGTGTTGGCCAAGGACCCTGCTATTACCGATCATAGGTATCGAGCGGACTATCACTGCTGGTTGGCACTAAGTGCGCCGCAGGCGGTTGTGGGGCTCGAACCCACAACCTCCTGAATGCCACTTGCGTGCCTAACCAACTGAGCTAGGCCGCCTGTGAGGCCCCTGGCCTCCAATTATTTTATGCAATTTATGTCATGTCACTTATGTCTTCAAAAAAAAAGGGGGAAATTTTCGAAGTTCAATCTTATGTCACTTATGTCTTCAAATATAAAAAGGGGAATTTTTTGAGACACTGTCAGTTGGTTTAAGTTTAATCTTATGGCAGAGGTAGGGTGTCCCACTCTGTACTGGACTTCAAACGAATGGGTAGAATAGACCGGGATTTTGATTTTTTGGAACTTAAGTTTTCGGATTCAGATTCGCCCCTATTTTTACTGAGCTTCAAGGTTTACTTTCCGGGAGGATAAGTGCCGAAACTGCGTTACCGACCGCTCGCACTCTGGTACCCTGCCAGGACCGGCCGGCATGGCCCGGCTTGCTCCTTGTGTGACACGTCAGGGCGGTTTCCCCGTAACCTGACGTGGCCTCTGAATTGGCCAGTGGCGCGCCACGTGGCGTGTTATCTGCGAACCTTCTTGGAGGGCGAGGTCAGTGAGGAGGGGTGCTACTGGGTGTGCTTAGAGGTGAGTGACGTGGGGAGAAATACACGAACGGGTGAGAGACTCGTTGGGGTTGGCGATGCCGTGTCCGGGGGAGCTGGGAGCTGATGCGTGGCTTACTGTTGTTCGAGCGAGCACTGTGTGTAGGCCAGACGGTGGAGAAGCTGCGATCGGCTGCTGTTGAAAAGATGGCGCCGTCGATCTCGTGGATCCGAAGCGTGAGGGAGTGCTTAATGGAGATCACATGGGGGCTAGAGGAGGGGCTGCCCCCCGACCTGGGACGCGATAACAAACTACCCGGCGCGTTTGGAGGACTTGATGCTGCGCTACTACAAAGAGTTTGAGGAGGGGCGAGCGCTTTGTTCTATGCTGGAGGACCGCTGTTGCGACGACGACGATATCGTCCATATTGCAGATACTCACAAAAACAACGATAATGATGACAGCAACAACGACAGTGACAACAACAACGACAGTAACAAAGATTCGTGGGAGGGTAACAATGACAATAACGACAGCAACAATGACAGTAACAACAATAGTGACGATAACAAAGATTCGGGAGAGGGCAACAACGATAGTGCTTCTCGTGAGGACGGCGACGGCGTTCTTGCAGCAACGGCGACAATAAAGAGAACAGGGGCAACGACGACAATAACAACAACAACAATAATGACCACAACAACAACAACAACAACAACAACGACAGCATCAACAACAACAACAACACCAGCAATGATAATAACGCCGCCGACTGTGATTTTCGTGAAGTTCACGATGCCATATCAATCCAGATCGTTCAGATCGTCGTCTTCAATGATGTAACAGATATCGCCGGGAATGGTCGAGGGATGCAGCGGGCTCCTCCCGTGAGTAGCGGGAAGCTTTTGGGGGGGGGAATGGTTTTGTGCAGTTTCACGAGTGTTTGCCGTGGTGCGTGCGGGCGAGATAGTTCTGCTCGATGGGACCCGGGTGGGAAGGGGGTTCGGTAGGACAGGGGCCTTGGGGAGGCCCATCATCTACCCACCCGTGCTATCCGAAGGAGGGCAAATAGGTATACGTGGAATCCCGCCTGCCTGACCGTGTTCCTCTCTCCCTGCTTCTCGCAGTCTGTCCCTGGCTGTGTTCCTCTCTCCCTGCTTCTCGCAGTCTGTCTTTCTAAATTCCGCTGCCTTCCTATTCTGAACACTCCTCCTCCTCACGGCGCTGCAAGGGTTGGTGATCATGTGATGAGGGTTTCAGGGAAATGGTGTGATTGCGATGGGGTGATCTAAATGGTTTTTCCCTACTCTGAATGCCTCTCCTCCTCGCGTACTTGTTAACAGTTGATGAGGGTTTCAGAGTACGGGTTCTATGTAGAGTGTGATGGGCAGTTAATCCCCAACTTGGTTGAGGGCAATCAATGCTGTTCATCAGTTAGCCTGGGTACTTACGTGTCGACTCGGATGACGGGCTAGATTTCTGTCAGAAGGGAGGACACGTGGCATGCCTGTATGAACGAAAAATGTTTTCATAACGACCGTTTCAAATGTCAAGGGACGCTGGACCCGTTTTCCAGCAGGTGCTGCTCCCCACCAATAGATGGAGCCTCCCAAGCATGCTAGTGGCGTCTGCTCTTATCAGCACCGCTAGCATTTACTTGGGTTGTTTGTTTGTAAAAAAAAAAAAAAAAAAAAAAGGATGGAAGAAGAGGGGGCGCTGGGCCAGGTTTCCAGCAGAGCCTAAACTTGAACTTGGTAATGGCCCCAGTACTTGTCCGGGTTGTTTGTGAGGTTTGCCGGCCACTCTTTCCATTCGGCCCTGGCAATTTAAGTTTTGTATTCCTCTGACCAAAAAAAAAACAAAAAAAAACAAACAGTTTGGAGCAGTGGATAGCCAGAACTGAACCACACAAACTACAATGAAACGAGTCGACCAATAACAGAAAACACAAACCTGACTCAAGGATCAAGGTCCCGACTTACCGGGCATTGGAAATCCAAACAAACTTTGGGCATAGCCACACCACAGTGACTCCCCAAATGTCCAAATGAGAATGAACTTCCAGCTAGAACAGGGCCATATGTACCCGCCCACATTTTTGTCTTTTCCGCATTTCGAGAGTGGTGTGGTGGCAAGGTCCTTTAACTAAGATAACCCATAACTGTTACACACTATCAGACCCAATTATCTGGCCTGCCAAACAAATCAAACAAATCAAATCAAAGCTAGTCCCACCAAACTTATCCTACATCTGGCCTTTGTCTCCTCGGCCTCCGTCTTGGAGACCATCACATAGGTTCATGTCCAACCCGAGTCTCTATCATCGGTTAAGCACCCATAACTGTTTTTTTTTTTTTTTTTTTTAACAAAAAGCCCTTTCACGAGTCCTCTATCCCGGTGGTGGTAGGAGAACCGCAAGGATTGAGGGCCCGGCCAGTGGACTGCTCCATCTATTGGTGGGGAGCGGCACCTGCTGGAAACCGGGTCCAGCGTCCCTTGGAACATCAATGCAGAGTATTGAGTGGAAGCCATAGTTATTCGAGATACTAGAGARATCATAATAGAAGGGTCATTTCCCAGTAGGCTACTACCCTAACCCTTCTCCTGCTTAAGCTTCTTTTGCCAGAAGTAATGTCACCCCATTCCCGGAGGCGTCAGGTGCCTGCTAATGACCAATGATGCATCTACAAGGCCTTCTTGTGACAGGCCTGGTCAGTGGCCGCGGCCGTGTTGATGTAGCTTCCACTGGCACCCATAACTGTCTTATAGATTCATCAACCAGGTTCAATAAACAGTGGTCCTGTCACTGCCCAACAGCGTAGTTCACGCTGTTGTAATCACCTCAGCAATAAAAAAAAARAAATTTAAGCTCCGATCTATTCGCGGGGTGCCACCAAAAGAAGGCAAAAAAAAACAAACTCAGCAGCTTAGTTTCCAGACATTCATCTCGGCGGCCGCATGTCTCCAGAGGCAGTTATTAAGCAAGTGTATAGGGTACCCATAAGCAGCCCACTCCCCCACGGGTTAACACAACACCCTTTTGTTTCTTTCTTGTCCAGAAATCAGCATTCTGCAAAGTTTTTTCCTCTAGCCTAAGGAGTTAATATTTTCTCCTWATTTTCAATTCTTCTTCCCAACAGCATTTACTRCAGTAACTCTCCTGGTGACAGGATTAACTATTGACCATAACTCTTGAGCCTTTACCCTATCCCTCAAACAGCCATTGTCCTAGTCTAAATCTACCCTCTGGTTCCAGGACCACCATAATGATTATGATAGTACACATTGAGCAACTCCATATATGCTGACGCTACTCCTCAACCAGCCAGTCTCSTAGTCTAAGTCTGCCCTCTGGTTGCAGGACCACCACATAACATAGGCAGCTGCAACCCACTGGCAYTGATTGCTCTTCTAACGACAGGATTAACCGTGTGGGGGTACCCGTGACTAGTCTTACTTCAATCCAGTACCTTACCTTTCTCACACTCTGAGTTTCTCCAGTTCCTCCTCATCTTCATAATGGGTTCTGAAAATGTACCTGATTCTCGTTTCACTTGCAATGCTTCCGCTCAGTGATGCACT